TCTAAATTCAGCAGGTAATGTGATCGAGGTTTTCACATTGCAAGTTGAGGGTATCCAAAATTGCGCAAGTCTTTTTATGTTTTATTGCTGTTACAGCAATTTGAATTCCATTTTAACTCAGAATGTTTGTAAATAAATCAGGTGAATCTTTGTGACTGAGCAGAACAGACTCCAGTTGCTCACGTAGCACCCACAGTGCCTGTGTGGCTACAGTCTGCTCAGTTCTTCGTACCTGAAGCTCCACGTCTAGACTTGTTCCTTAAAGCAGTGGAGTCAGCGGTTAAAGCTACTGTCTGAATACACAAGGAATCCCAAAGGAACATCAGGAAACATTTTCTTTTAAAACCAGTTCTTCACAGTTCTTACACAGTGCAGACTGAGTGTCCCCATGCACTTCTTTCCTCTAGCAGTAGTGGAACAACTTGAAAAAGAAAAAATGATTGCAAAAATCATCTTCCAAAGCACATTTGAGATACCTTCATGTCAGGAGCCACTGGCAGTGGCCACAGATGGATGTTTTTACTGCAGCCTGAGGGTGGCATTATGTAGATCAATGTTCAGGATCTCACCCTTGGATTACATTAACAGCATTTTGCTGATGAGTTTTGACCCAGTGTTTGGAGTAAAATGAAGGAAATATTTGCACAACTGCCCTGTTAAAAAAAAAAAAAAAATTCTCCAACATTTCAACTGTGCTTTACTGAAGACAGAGGCCCTATTTCCTTGTTAAAACATAAAATGAAAAATGGAATCATTTATTGCATTGTAGAATTATAAAAGTTGGAAAAGATCCTCAGTATCATCAGTTGAACCATCCAGCTACCACCAGTATCTCCCCATGAAACCAGCTGTTGTGTTGGGCAACACCTCAGCATGTCTGCACAAGAAATTGCACCAGCAGTTGAGAAATAAAACCAGTGCATCAGTGTATTATGCACAAACTTTGATTACTACTTTCTTGAGCTTACGTGACAATTTACATATGATTGTATCTGTTACAATAGGAACCTGCAAACTGAAAACATGCAAGATTTATTTTTCAGAGTGCTTTACTCCATGTGTAGAAAATCAAGGTGAAAAATGATTTTTAAAGCATCGTTTGTTTTTAAACACTGCCATTCTAAGACTTGATACATACAGAGATAGTATCAAGTTACCCTGAAATGTAACTCTGACTTAAAATGCTCAGAGGAGAATTTTGTTGTCTTTGTACATCCCAAGTTCTTGAGAATTTGAAGGTGCACCAGGACCCAGAGCTGCAGCTAACAGGGGGACCACGGGGTAAGAATTTCCTCTTTACTACAGTTTATTTTTTATGCAAACAAGAGAAAATAATTATTTTAACTTTGCTACATCTGAAAGCTGCTGCTCTTTAATCATTGGAGGCTTGGCAGCACTCAGGTCACTCAGCCAACTTACCCCAGAACTGCCTGACCTACAGGATGTGGAGGTCTGACCCCCAGTGTGGTAGCAGTGTGAGACTCACAGCATTACAGCCCCTGGTAGCTAGGAATGAAAACAAAGAACACTAGGAAGCAGGAAAAAAGCATCCCAGAAGGTGAAGCTCCAGTTGCAGAAGTGAGCAATGCACTGAGTGAAATCCACTGTGCTTGGAATGAGACTATGCAGATGAGACTGCGAGTTTTGCAAGGTGTGCTGTGCTTACCCCCACGCTCAGAGCAGCAGAGACCTCCCTGGTGGTGCCAGCTGGTTGCCACAGGCAGGATGTGCTGCATTCCCACAGCTGGATGCAGCGACCTGGGCTTTTTGTGACATTCCAGTGCTTTGTTGCAGGTATTGCAATCCATCAGAGATGCACAGATATCTGCCCTGGAGACTCAGCATAAGAAAGATGTGCTTGGGAAAACAACCACCTTTGCAATTCTTCAAGAGGAAAAATAAGCGCCTGGAGATATTTAGCAGCAGCTAATTAGGATGAATAATATAACTTCTTAAAAATGTATCAACTTTACGTTTATCCACTTACAAACAGAACCACAAGGCATAGGTGAGGTCACCAGATGGGGCCAGCCTACTGCACCATCCAGCTCTTCCATTATGCCCAGAAAAACAATCCCCAACCACTCACTTCAACTACAGAAGAGCGCTACCTAGAGAGCTTCTCTGTTACAGCAGGGGTGTGCTATAGGTGCTATTTTCTTCTTTCAAAGCAGCCCTCTTCCTTGGAGGAAGTGCTGTGCACATGGGAGCTGCGGCCTTGTTGCAGTCATGAGCAGCTCCAGGGAACATCCCAGCAGGAGGAGTCAGACAGCCTTTCAAATAACACACATCAGCAAATCAGAGGTGCTTCAGCACAGTGCTTTTGGGTGATACTTGTATCTGCAAATTCCTGTCGTACTGCCTACGGCTAACTGACCTAACTGGAGCAATTATGCAGTGAGACCATTTAAAAGACCAGCAGATTTGAAAATCCTGTTTTAATAGAAACCTGCCAGAGCTGCACAGTTTTCCGAAAGGAAAAATGCTACAGTTAATGCATCTACTGAGCAAATCAGAGTAGTTCAGGATTCAGACCAAATTAAGTTATTCTCCCTACAGCGTTTCCCAATTTCTTTCTAAGTGAGTTCAGCTACAGGATAACTTTACAGTATTAAGATCAAGGCCTACACAGCAACTTCGGAGCATTCATCAATTTATTTTCTTAATTCAGTTACATATCTCATAGCTAACACTCATTATCTCATCATAAAGCTATGCTACACATTATAACAAAAACCGTTAATGTTGAGCAGATGAAACATTAATAAACAAATATTCTACTGTTTCATTATAAGTCAAACACTAGAAGTCAACATAATTAGTTTTTGTTCAGCAAAACCAGGATGTTATATATAAAAAAAAAAACTGAAAACATAAGCCAGTAATTTTACTCAATGAATTAAAAACAAAGGCAGCACAGATGAAACACTTAACATGAAGATACTTCCTTAAAGTAGCAACTCAACTCTTTTCTGAGAAAGTGGGTGGCTCTGAAAAGAGCCTTTGGGTTATATTATGTTTTCAAATACCTAACCGGCTTTACTGGCAGAGATTATTTGCTTTTAGCCTTATGACTCTCAGTCTTCTTGGGCAGCAGCACGGCCTGGATGTTGGGCAGCACCCCGCCCTGCGCGATGGTGACCTTGCCCAGCAGCTTGTTGAGCTCCTCGTCGTTGCGGATGGCCAGCTGCAGGTGGCGGGGGATGATGCGCGTCTTCTTGTTGTCGCGGGCCGCGTTGCCCGCCAGCTCCAGGATCTCGGCCGTCAGGTACTCCAGCACGGCCGCCATATAGACGGGAGCTCCGGCCCCCACCCGCTCCGCGTAGTTACCTTTCCGCAGCAGCCGGTGCACGCGGCCCACGGGGAACTGCAGCCCGGCTCGTGATGAACGCGACTTGGCCTTGGCTCTAACCTTCCCGCCCTGCTTCCCGCGGCCCGACATGGTACTGCTGCCAACGAGAGCTTACAGAACAAACCAAGCCAGAAACAATACAGAGGAAATCATACTGACGCAGGCGCTCGTCCCCTTTTATCCCTTCCCAGGGCGGGAGTAGCGGCCGCTGATTGGCTGGAATCTACAGTTGTGAAAACAACCAATGAAACAGCGGATCTTATTGCAACCAATCAGAAACAAAGAAACACCCCTTACAGAAAAGACCAATCGCATTGCACGAATTGGAGCCTCGGTATTTGCATAACAGCCCTATAAATAGTGGCGCCGCAGCCATTTTAGATGCAGTTCGCTTTTGCAGTGGTTGGGTAGTTGTGTGTTCGAAATGCCTGAGCCAGCTAAGTCTGCTCCCGCCCCCAAGAAGGGCTCCAAGAAGGCGGTCACCAAGACCCAGAAGAAGGGTGACAAGAAACGCAAGAAGAGCCGCAAGGAGAGCTACTCGATCTACGTGTACAAGGTGCTGAAGCAGGTGCACCCCGACACGGGCATCTCGTCCAAGGCCATGGGCATCATGAACTCGTTCGTCAACGACATCTTCGAGCGCATCGCCGGCGAGGCGTCGCGCCTGGCGCACTACAACAAGCGCTCGACCATCACGTCGCGGGAGATCCAGACGGCCGTGCGGCTGCTGCTGCCCGGCGAGCTGGCCAAGCACGCGGTCTCCGAGGGCACCAAGGCGGTCACCAAGTACACCAGCTCCAAGTAGAGCGGTCCTGATCCTCACTCTGAACCCAAAGGCTCTTTTCAGAGCCACCCACTCATTCAGTGAAAGAGCTTTAATACAACGTGTTTTTGTGTCTTGTTTGTTTGGAAGGTTAAATAAGATGTGATTATTTTTCCTGGAGAATTTCTACTTGATTCTGGGTTATTTAGGGCGAACAATAAAGATCTATCTCCAGATTCACTGGTCAATGCTTTGTGGTGTTAAACAATTTCAGGTATGATTAATTTGTTTTGTAAGCGTTGTGTGTCTTATCCAATAAACACAAGTAGTGTGTTTTTGATTTTAATAGTTGCAGTGCACTAATACATCACTCAAAGAATATCACCTATCTTTCAGTAGCTCCACTAACATTCATTAGAGGAGAAAATAAACAAGTAATGTTTTTTTGCGTAATCAGTCTTACCGTGCGTGTCTCTGAGCTGAAATTTTGGCTTTGAGAGGAGAACGATTACCCCTGCAGATCTGAGAACAACGATAAGAGCGAGGGCGCGCTGTAACAGACGCTTTCGGAGCGGAGCTGTCCGGCGGCAGCGCCGAGCCGATTTCGCAGCGCGGGCTTTTTGAATCTTTCCAGTCGTCCAATAAGCGACCGCGGTTTCTCCCATCACCCAATCAGAACGGGCTTCAGGCAGAGCCGGGCCTCCCAGGCAGCCCCGCGCCGCTCTGCGTCCGTCCGGCAGCGGCCCCGGTGAGCTCCGTGAGCGCCTCGCCCGGCGGTGGGAGAGGGAGGGAGGTGGCGGGCGCGCTGCCTATTCCGGCCCTCTCCCTGCGGCTCTAACAGCAGTTTTGTGAAGCTGTGCAGGAATTTAAAAAGACCCCGCTGAGAGGAAAGGTCATTGCCAAGGACGCGGAGGAGCCGTGCCGGAGAGTTGGCAGCGCCTGTCCCTAAGAGGCGTGGCGGTAGCGCGCAGACTGTTAGGGACCGCACTGTCTGAGTTAAAGCACCGAGAGAGACCTGCATGCCCCAGAGCGATACCCACCCCAGCAATCCCTTTAACACACGCACCTCTGTCCTGCGTTGCTCAAAGGCAGCCCGAAGAGAGGTTGCTTTTTTTCCTTTCTCCCCCCTCTCTCCAGGGAGCGCAAACTTTATTTTTTCCAGCCCTATGCTAACCACGTTCCGTGGCTCAGAGTCCTGCTATTTCTGCAGGCGAGCATCCCATCTGATCGCGAGTAAAAAATGGCGAATCGAGAGCTTCGCTGCAGGCATGGAGCTCACTGTCCGAGTGTCTCAGCTCTTTTTCGGACAGTGGTGGGTGGCTCTTAAAAGAGCCGTTGGGTTTAAGTATTTCCACATCAATACTTCACTTCTTGGCCGCCGCCTTCTTTCCCTTGGCTGCCTTCGGTTTGGCCGCCTTGGATTTGGCAGCTTTGGGCTTCACCGCCTTTGCCTTGGCCGGGCTTTTGGCAGTCGCCGCCTTTTTGGGCTTGGCAGCCTTGGTCACCTTCTTCGGGCTCTTGGCCGCCTTCTTGGTGGCAGCGGCCGCCGGCTTCTTGGCTTTCTTGGGGCTCTTCTTCGCCGCCGCCTTCTTGGGCTTTTTGGCTGCGCTGGCAGGCTTCTTCGCCGCCGGTTTCTTGGGCTTGGCCGCGGGCGTTCTCTTCCTAGGAGCCTTCTCCTTCGCCTCTCCCGGCTTCTTGCTGAGGCGGAACGAGCCAGAGGCGCCGGTGCCCTTGGTCTGCACCAGGGTGCCCTTGCTGACGAGGCTCTTGAGCCCCAGCTTGATGCGGCTGTTGTTCTTCTCCACGTCGTAGCCGCCGGCGGCCAGCGCCTTCTTGAGCGCGGCGAGGGAGAGCCCCTTGCGCTCCTTGGAGGCGGACACGGCCTTGGTGATCAGCTCGGTGACGCTGGGGCCCGCGGGCTTGCGGGCTTTGGCGCCGCCCGCCGCCTTCTTCGGCTTCTTGGCGGCCGCCTTGGCGGCGGGGGCCGCGACAGCGGGAGCGGCGGCGGGAGCGGTCTCCGACATCGCGGCAGAGACTTCTTCCTAATCAAAAGAAAGTAATTGGGCTACAGTAACCCCGATGCCTGAATTTATAGCGAAGCGGTGATCTGTGATTGGTGCTTTACAGAGCCCGCCTAACTGTTAGCCAGGAAGAGCTTTCCGTCCTCCGAGTCTGTGTTTCTTCGGAGTTATAAATTCGTATTTTTTGAAAAATCCCGGCCGCGAAATCACCCCGCTTTCTTCGGGGGGTGAAGAGAAGACCTTGAAGCTTCGTTCTGGGGAGTTTGTCGCCGCGGGCATCCTGGACAAGAGCAAAAAGACGCGTTTAACGTGCCGTCCTGCATCCGGGAAGACCCTGGGGAAGGCGAACTTTTGTTTTTCCGTCTAAATTAAAATAAAAGCTTTCGTCAAAAAATCTCCCCCGTAGCGCAGATTTGTTCTTTAGGGGCTTTTCTGCGGAACAGGATGGATACCGAGGGGGCAGCTTCAATACTTTTGTCGCAAATTGAGTTCAAAGAGAAGGAAGTAACACAATTTCGTGTCTGAGCTTTGAATATGGATAGAGAATCGCCTCCCTGAACCGTATCTTTAACTATTAAGAATACGGTATTCTCACAAAATTCTGTGTTTTGAGAACATAAGATACATCCAGAGGAATTGATGTGCTAGAACTTGTCACTGTTCCTCGTGTTTTGTTATGTTCTGAGAGGGAATGGTAGCATTTTGATTTATTTTTTTGTTTTGTTTTGTTTTTGGAAATCACTTCTGTATATAAAAAACGAAGCTGTTTTTGCCTCGTTAATAAAGGCGAAATAAGCTGCAAGCTCGATGTTTTGTCCTTTACAGTGCACTATATTGCTGCTCTTAAAACTTGCAAAAGTCAGAAGCAAGAAGTAAGGAGAAAAACGTCCAACACATTTATATACACAAAGATGTGTCACATTATCCTCAAACATCAGTGGAACAAACTGAAGCCTCTCTTCTCCCCAAATAAATGTAATAATATGGAAATCGACCTCTGAGAACAGAACGACTCATACAACATTTATTTACATATATTTGGATATAGGCTTGTTTTCCCACCATAAGCTTTATAAAATCTGTGATTCTCAAGAGAAAAGAAGAAGACATCCAGACAAATCCTCATAACATAAATGCTCATGTAGCAACATAATTTTCAGATAATCCTCACAAGTAAAAATCAGTTTTGATTTTCACTTAATTATTGTCTCACCCGGTGACAAATGAAAATAATTCTGTTTGCTCATTAGTTTAAATATTGATTAGGATTGATTGCAGTATTTTGGAGCTGATCAGAATTCAGAAGCCTCAGCTGGTTTCTAATTAGAAAGCAGACTGAAATTTATTCCTTCACTGAAAAATAACAAATTAATCCCCAAATGATTGTTTTTGTCCCACTTTAGAAATAGCTACCATGTAAAACATCAGTGGGCTGTTATATGAAAGAACGTCTCTTTTAGCGCTGATGAATCTGAGATTCATGAAGATAAATAATACTCTGCAGAAGGCCTTGTGTAGTTCCAGTGGACCAGTGCTGAAAATACCACTGAGTTATTTGTACCATTAAGTGGTTTTAGTTTAAAAGAAATATACCAAAATAGCAAGGAGTACTGAGGTACAACAGAATAGCCAGAGTGTAAACAATGAACTGTCACTGCTTTGTCTTCTCATGTAATTCCATTTTTATTTTGCCATGTCTGTATGTATGCCAGCTGATACATTGAAGGAGAGGAAAGTAAAGGCAGAGAGGAAGGGGAGATTCTGGCTGTTCAGTACCCCACTGCTGAAGCCAGGCTGGAAGGCGCCCTGAGTTGGGCTCTGAGATCTGCCACACATTTCAGGTGGTGCCATTCCCAGGTAAGCAGCCAGGGTAAATCCACAGTAACCACAAAGCTCTGGGCAACTGCATGAGAGACGGGAATAAAATTCTGAGAGACAAAAAGTTGCTAGAAAAGGAGATGATGCTTATTTCCCAAAAAGGTTAGATGGAGATTTCTCTAAAACAGAATCAGTCTGCAAGTGAGAGAGAGAACAGAGCTAGGAAGGGTTGTCAGGTGTGTGGGTCTGTTTGATGTAAGGCACTCTTCTAGGCTGCAAGTGCAGGCAGTGGTGGTGAGATCATCTGATCTGATGGAAGTTGGCTTCTCCTCGTTTACTTCTCAATGGGTTGATATAAATCCAAATGTTTTTAAACTTATCCCTCCCTCAAGTGCTGACTGTTCTGAGTTGCACTTCTGAAGTTCCTTGTTTTTCCCTGGCAGTCTGAGACACCTGAATACAGACCAGTTGGTTGCAGTTGCAGTTCGCATCCAATGCTGAGCTGTCAGCATCCCTCATCCTGCCTGTTCCTCAGGCATCAGACCCTCCCCAGTCTGCACAGAGCACACCTGGTCTCCTTTTTCTGATCACTGAGAAGTTTCCTGGTCTTGATTGCTATTTCTGAAAAGTTTTTAAAGAGTGGAGAGTGGGCCTTTGGAGTTATGAGGTGGTGTGAATAGAGCTTTTTCCTTGTCCTTTTTTCTTCTTTTTCTCTTCTTTTTATTCTTTCTCTTTTTCCCTTTTCTTTTTCTTTTTCCTTTTCTTTCTCCTTTCTCCTTTCTTCTTTCTCCTTTTTCTTCTTTTCCTTTCTCCTTTCTCCTTTTTCCTTTCTTCTTTCCCTTTTCCCTCTTTCCCCTTTTCGTTTTCATTTTTTCTTTTCCTGTTGATTTTTCCCTCCCTTAGGTGTGGAATTGAATTTCTCTAGTTAATCAGATAAAACTCTGAACAATTTTCAAGTTTGGTTTTCTGTAAATAGCTGTCGAGAGAAAAACTTGATAATTTTTCTTATTGAGACATAGGGGTCCACATGGAGGAAAAACAGATTAGACATCAGACGGATAGGGGCAGATTAAACACACAGAATACAGGAAAATAACACAAATAAGCTAAAGACTACACTCATTTATTTGTATTTACTCTTCTTAGCATGTTGAAGACCCAGAGAAATTGTTGATTTTTAATATAAGTATCCTAGTCTTCTGACGAAGGATGTTTTTGCATGCGTTCAGGTATCTACTCTTAACACTAATCATTAAAAATATATACAAATAACAAGATCAAGAAACATCAGTCAAGTTTTTGCTGTGAGGCAAGTTTGTTGCCAACACTGATTCAAAGTTTAATTGCAAAGTTTATATAGTAAGGAAGAATTAAGATGACAAAATGCCATTGGTAAAGAAGTCACATGTATTGCTTGACATATGCACCTCAACAAAGCTGAGAAAAATATGTCACCAGATGTTCCAGTGTTAGGGCATCCCGTGTCCTAATATTTTGTATCTATTTTGCCTTCTACTCTATTACCTGCAGCAACACAACAGTTTAGAAGGCTGAGAAAAGCATTTTTCTATTTGGTATAAGCTAAGAAACCTAGTTCTAAAAACATGCCAAATAATTTGGCCCATACTGGAACAGCCTGTTGATGTCATTGAGATAGATGGAAGTACTTTGTTTTCTATCTCTAGGAAAATGAATGTAAGAAAGTTCTCTTGCAGCTGCATTGTCAGACGGTCTCTGCTGCTGCTTTCTTTTTTCAGCACACGTACATTGCCACAATGTTGTTTCATCCTTGCGTTCAGGAACGATTTTGTCCTCTGCTACATTCAAAGCAGGATAAAAGAAAACAAATGAAGAAAAAAAAGTTTATCATTCTTGTCAGTCAAACACAGGTACATCATATTACTGAGTTCTTAAGGGTTGAGATACAAAAGGGATGTTCCCACAACGCTCTTCCCATCATAGAAGGGTCTAGTAGCCTCCATGCTAGTTTTCCTATTTACTTAGGTTCAGCAAAGGAGGATTGCTGCGAGTGATGTGAAGACTTGAAAGTAACGACAGGGTTTGTCAGACTGCAGTGATTTTATGATCACAGAACAGTGGAATTTGGAAAGCATCTCTGTAGATCATTGAGTGCAGTGCCCAGGATCGAGGCATGGCCAGCTAGAGCAGGGAGACATTACAACCTCAGTGGGCAAACTGTTCTACTGTTTGACCACCTCCACAACAAAACTTAGACATATTGCTTAAGTTTTAGTAGAATTTCCTGTGTTTTGTTTGTGCCAATTTCTTCCTGTCCTGTCACTGGGCAGTCCTCATCAGCGCTGAGTGGAGGGAAAAAATCACCTTCATCAGTGCTGGTTTGGAATTCGTACTTATCCATGTTAATTTATGAATCCCATATGTGGATTAATGATGAATTGCACTCCTGCCATTTTTATTTATTTATTTATTTTTAAATTTATTTGTTTATTTTTACTTCTGGTCATTAATTAAAATTAGCTTCAGAAAAATCATTGTTACCTCTCACACAGCTTTATTTTCAAGGCTTGTGAAGACCAGTTTGAATTGCCCTGTCTTGTCTTTGTGGTCATGGTGTCCATGAGTGTAGGACTTTAAAGGCTAGTTGGAGTCATGGCAAATCTTCTAATTCAAATAGGAATACAACCCTAAGCCCCTAAAACCAGAGTGCATCAATAAGTTGGAGTACATTTCTTGTATAAGAAAAGCAATAATGTAGAAAAATGAAACAATGCAAAACAAAAAAATGGAGTGATTGAAGTGCCAAATCAGGATCTAGTGGATTCTAGCATGTAAGTAGCTAAAAGAAACACAGCAATGCCATTCTCCTATCTGCCATGTTTTCTAGGTAGCAAAAATCATACTGTCCTTTTCATGACTGGAGATCCACCTGGAAAATATGGAGCAGAAATCCCCACATAATTATGTTTTGTTTCTCTATATCCATCAATGAATATTATTACCATTATTATGTATAGGAATCTGATTCATGAGCAGAATTTTGTTCTACTGGGGATATAATTGTAGTCTTGTTTGCAGCAGCAGAAGAGGAGGAAGCACATAAATGAAGGATACATGTGCCTACTATACTATATAGTATATACTATATACTATGTACTATGTACTATATACTATATACTATATACTATATACTATATACTATATAC